TAAATATACCTTAAATTTTCGTAAGGGATGCTACGAATTTTTCGCGCTTGAAATTCCTAAGACAGCCTAGCTTTGAGGCTGCTATATAGAAGGTTATTTCTCAAGGTTTTGGGTTAGGGTAATATACGTATAATAAAGCAGATTATTACAGACCTCGTTTCTAGGTCAAAAGGTTTACACGTAAACCGTGAAAAAAACCTTTTTAAAATTGTATGAAAATGCTTTAACGGAGTGAAAATAAATCTTTCGATCTGGTTAAAAACATGTTCTACTTTTATACGAACATTGTATGAATTTATAATTAATAAAGACGATATTCATAATTTTTTGAATCTTTGAGAAAAACAGGAATATGTTTTTTTTACTCAGCTATCTGCCAAACTATTATTTCGTCTATTAACAATAAACTTTTTTAGTTCTTCTTAGTTTATTACAAAAAAAAAAATTTCCATTAATATTATTTAAAAACATATAATATTTTATACTTCTTATACATTATTTTATTTATACCAATCTTTGTATATATTAAGAATCCCTAAATATTTATACACTATAATACACACATATATTGAAACTTGTACATACACATTTTTGAAAATTAAATATTATATACGCACACAACCTATATATATATATATATATANTCAACTACCTATATGCATATATATATATATATATATATATATATATATGTTGTATCCTCACATATTTAATTTTTAGAAATGTGTATGTACAAGGTTTAATATATGTGCGTATGTATGTTGTAAGTATGTATAAATATTTAGGGACTCTTAATTTTCTCCATGACGTTTTTTTTAATGTTTAATTTTATAAATTTTCGGTGATTTCTCTCTAAATCACCTAAACAGAATATATGATATATCCTCTTGGTGATGAATATATGTTTATTTTGATTATTTTTGAACTTATCTACCTTCAGTTTTGTTCAATAAGGTTTTCTTGTTTGTTGCTAAAATGAAGTGAAGAAACTTGTCACGTTTCGAATCTTTGGGGTTTCTAAAAGCAAAAAAAGAAAATCTATCTATCTATCTATATATATATATCATCCAAAAACAAGTTTATTTGTCTGAAATTTTCCATCTTGTGGTAGAAACCATATTTATTCTCAAATAAACTGAATATAATAATTCCTTCCTTGCTATTTTTGACCTAAATAGTAATTTATTTGTGCCTCCTTATGAACATAGTTTCTCAAGGAAATGGATGTTAAATGAGGTAATTTAGGAGATTTATAATTTGCAGGTAGAGGAAGAGGTGACTTCAGTAATCCTCAAGGCGTATGCTGTACAACGGATGGACATATTATAATAGCAGATAGTAATAATCAATGCGTTCAGGTTTTTGACTCAACAACAGGAGAATTTCATCTGAGATTTGGATCAAGAGGTCGAGCTCCTGGTGAAATGCAAAGACCTACGGGCGTAACTACTCTTCCTAATGGGAACTATGCTGTAGCGGATTATGAGAACAAATGGATTAGCATTCATGATCCAAAAGGAAAATATGTCTCTCGAATAGGAATTGGAAAACTCTTAGGTCCCAAAGGAGTAACAGTAAATAAAAATGGACACATTATAGTTGTGGATAACAAAGGTATGAAACAAAAAAACAATTTTAAAACTTTCTTAATAAGTTTATTTAGAAACATTTCTTTTTTCCAGTGATTTTACCCCAACAGGAAACACAATGACATATTGGTAAAAGAGTCTTTTTTGTAGGATCTCCAATGGGTTTTCATCTTCTTCTCAAGTAGACTTCCTGTTTTGCAAGACTATTTACAATTATAATTAGAACATACGTAAATGCATAACTTTATACAATTTAAAACACTTTTTGAATTCTGAGTAAAAACCAAAACATGGAAAACTCCTAACTTACAACAGTAACAAAGTGGCTCACAAGGGAAACTAGAGAAGTGTGACTCGCCAATTTTGAAATAAGCTAGTGGGATGTATGCCTTATGAGGAATAATTTTAGGGGGCAACATTCGTTTCGGCCTATAGAAGGTCCTGTGAGAGATAAAGAATAATTCAACATATAGAAAAATCAGTATTTTATTGCTTCAATGCAGACTATTAGTTATTGTAATTGTCTCAAAATCCAATTAATTTTGTGGTGCTTTCACGTACTATATAATGCATATTTATTGTCAAAATTGAATTCGAAAATTTTATATATCTGCAGTTTTTCAGAAAAACCTGTGAGGTTAATTTAAAAAACAATCATCATCAAACAATTGACATCAATTTGTTTTAATTTTTTTTTTCAAAAAACTTTCCAAATTAATTGGAGCATGTAATTGCAAATCAATTAATAATTAATTAACAATTAATTAATAATTAATTGATAATTAATTAATGATTTTCTGATTAATTTTCTGATTAATTCCTTAATTAGGAAGATAAAAAATTATCCAATTAATTACAAATTAATTGCATTAGGAGACAATTACAATAACTAATAGTCTGCATTGAAGTAATAAAATACCGATTTTTCTATATATTGAATTATTTTTTATCTCTCACAGGACCTTCTATGGCCGAAACGAATGCTGCCCCCTAAAATTATTCCTCATAAGGCATACATCCCACTAGCTTATTTCAAAATTGGCGAGTCACACTTCCCTAGCTTCCCTTGTCAGTAGAAAGAAACCCAAATGAGGTGACCTAGGTTTGAATTTCAGCAATGACTGGTCGATACGAATTCTTCTCCCGTTTCGCATCGACTACAGTGCTGACAAAAAATATCCACAATGGTATCCTTAATAAAGATCGCACATAACATATTTCTAAGTTACCAAGAAATTTTAGATGCAATGACTAAATTGAAAATATGCAGCAATTTTAAGACTCCAATATAATTTGGATAGAATTTCTTTTCAACATCTAGCTCTTTGAAAATAGTGCTTCAAGAGATTTTTGAGCATGTGATATGGAAAACTGCTCGACCTTCCTCCACTGGGTACTGTAGATGGAGCCTGATTGACCAAAAGGCTGTGAGGCCCTGTCCTGAAACTATTCAAACTTGATTTTTTTTTAAAAAAAAGGATTAAACTTTAATGAAGAAAAAAAATAGGATACGTGATTCAGATACGTGATATGAATTTTCCGTATCATTATAATGTAGAAATTCTTTTTAAAAAATCATGTGGAAATCAACAACAATAACTGCAAAATAAATAAATAAAAATATGTTTGGAACGCTACATGGATTTAGCGCAAATCAAAAGCGTTAAAAAGTATTTACTTAAATGTGCGATTCAAATTTCTCATTTTTTTTATATCATATGAAAATACCGAGATTTAAGAAACCACGTAGATCAATAGAAATAACTGCGAAAAAGTCGATAAAAACACAGTGATATCGTCGAGTCAAAAATTGACTAATAAATGCACGAATTGAATTTTGCATATCGTAATAATGATATGTAAGAAATATAAGATTTTAAAAAAATTGAGAAAATTCGTAGCAATTAATAGCCGAGAATAAAAACACCACATAAATTTATGATGGTATTGACTCAAATCGAGTGAATCAAAAGTGATTATTCATATGCAAGATTCAAATTTTGCGTATTGTATATCGGAATTTTAAAAGTTATGCGAAAATGTCTTGCATTTAGTGCAAAAGAAAAAAAAATTGAAACAGTGATTTACCATAGCACGTTGAAAAGTGATTACTGTAAAGCTCAATTCGAAATTTCTATGTCGTAATATCATATTAAAATTAATTCGATCTAATTGTAGCATAAAAAAGGTCGATCTAATTGTAACAGAAAAATGCTTAAATCATTTTTCTGTTGTATATCGGAATTTGCAATAAAATTACTGCTTATTAAAATATAAGTTTAAAGAAAGGAGAAAAAGACATTTTTTCCAGCGAGATTTTTAAAACGTTTGCCATTTTGGTTGCAATTTTCTTTAACAAATCTGCTAAAAAAATAGTTATGGTTCTTACCAATATTGATGAAAGACTTATTTTGTCCAGAGAAACATTAAATATTTTTTTTATCCTTATTTATTGTGATTTTAACTATTTTATTCTTCATTGGATATCTGACAAATGCCTCCCAATCTTTAAGCTATTAGGATGTTTAGATTTGATCAAAAATAACCGTGATTTTATTTATTTTGTGAATAGTTTGTAATAATTAAAAAAATAATTTTTGAAACATTTTAGTTGGAAATATCAACAATTTTAGCTATATTGTTTTTGAATAATGCTTCTAATACATTTTATAGCAATACTGTTAATTACTAATATATTGTTAATACATTGTATCAAATAATTTGGTTAATTAATGTTAAAAAAAAATTTAATAAATAAATCCAATTTTTGTTTTGTCCCGCAGTGGACTGATCGTTAAGACACGGTTCCCAGCAGATCACCGAAGTCAAGCATCACTGGCTGCGGTCAGTGTGCGGGTGGGTGACCACTTGGATCAGCCTGCGTAGGGACCGAGGGTGTGCGGTATTGGTCCTCGTTAAACTGTTCTACCGTAAAGTGCTCGACTTCGTGCGCAGGTCGTCGGGATACCGAAGCTGGGGAGCCATCCCCTCCGCAGAGGATCAAAATTGTGATGGAATGTCTTCGGATCATCCTCAGGGATGTTTCCCAGACCGTCGCCAATAGCCCATTGTGCAGCTCTACTGCGGCGTAAATGAAAAACAACAACAGCAACACCAATTTTTGTCTTAATATTTTTAAATATTTTCTAATATTCTGCAAATCCTAGTAACCGCATAATTCCAATAAAAATTACAGCTATTATGGTGTTAATTGATAACAATTTATAAATTGCATCAGAAATTTGCAGACCGCAAGTACGATAACTGCATTTTAGTCGCGTGATTTATTTGAATGCTAGGTACTACGGTATTGCAATAAAATTCTAAATAAATGGATGGTTTATTTTCATGGTCACAGATTAAAAAAAAAATTTAAAAATCTGTGATTAAAAGCATAACTCTAACAAGAAATTTTTCGTTAAACATTTCTAACGAGAAAAGTTTCTGAAGATTTTATTCCCTTTAAAAAACTTTAGGTCAAAAATTTTTGGTGGATAATCAACGAACTATAATAAAGTGGGATAAACATTATTCACAAGAAAACAAAGAATTTTCAATAAGCAACAGTGCATTTAAGAATGTTACTGAGCTTACAATAGACGCTTATAGCTCACGTATTTGTAAAAGCAATTTTTTAATTACAAAAGCTGGATGCATGTAAACTACCTTTACATCTACAGGTTGTAAAGAGATATTTTGAGCTCGCTGATTGGATTTCTCGGCAAAGCCTTCTGTTACATCTTTTTGTAGCTCGTTCCCAATATCATTTCTTCGCGCGCAGATCGTCGGGCTACCGAAGCGGGGGTGCCATGCCCTCCGTAGAGGATCAAAATTGTGATGGCATGTCTTCGGATCATCCTCCGGGATGTTTCCCAGACCGTCGCCAATAGCCCATTGTGCAGCTCTAGTGCGACGTAAATTAACAACAATATCATTTCTCCGTAATTTGCTCACAAAATGTAAATTAATTACAAATCAGTTCTAGTATAGTTCTTACACTAATTTTAAGACAAATGTTAAAGTTTTGTAAAGAAAATGAAATAGCGTCATCGACGATCTTTTAGTAGTAGCAAATTTTATGAAATCTAGTTTGCTTTAAATTTTATTCTTATTTTTTTTTATCGGTTCTTTTTTTTACGTTTTAGCATAATATTTTTTTAATATTATGTTATAGATTTCAGGTATATGCAAGGTAAACAACAATATTTTGGTAAAACATCAAATTAGAGCAATAATAATTATTTAACTTTAATTGTGAGCATATATTTTAAAAGTACTTTTTGCTAGCTTTTATAAAACAAATATAAGAAGTGATTAATATTCAAACTGAATATTATTTTGAATCTCCTTATGTTCTTAGAAACTAAAATCTCTAACTTAAATTTATCAAGAATGATTGCAGAACCAAACAAATAAAAACTATGCATGCAGGTTCAGTTTAAATTTATTATATGAGATTTTAAAATGTATATAAATATTTTCGTAAAATTATAGATTATTTGACAAAAATTTATCTTATCTTAGAGGAAAATATTCTAAAATGTTATAATTCAGCAAAATAGTTCTACTAGAACATTTATAATTTATAAAATTTACTTTATAGCGAGTGGCATATAACAAGTTTACAAATTACAATAAGTATAACAACACGTTACAAGAAAATAAAAGTACATATTAAAGTATAATTATTATTATTATTATTTTATAGATTTTCCACTTCCACTCATCACCGCATTCTATCTTCAGTCGAAAAATTTAAATCAAATGTTTGAATATTGTTGAATATATTAAGGTTTGAATATATTGTTTAGTGTTTAAAAAATAAATAAATTTATGAAATGAAAGGATAGGAAAAGATTTTAACAGATAAAGTTTAGTTTAATTTCTATTATTTCATAAAAATAGCTTTTTTAAAATGGATGAATATTTAACTGACTCAAGGAAACATTTGAAATAAATTTTAAATTCTAATATTTGCAGACTTTACTTATGCAGACTTTATCATTGAATTCTAAAATAAAAGAG